TTCGTGGACTTTGCATGTATCTACTAGCAATGCTGACTGAGAAAGCTAGATCAGGACGAGTGTGAAGTAGATACCTTAGACATCCGACATTTCTTCTGTAGCTCGTCGCATCTATCTGTGGTTCTTCTTCTGCTTTTGAGACTTTAAGTCCGAAGTCCATCGGAATCGTAGTTGAATTACAGCTTTCAAGACCGGCTTCTTTCAAGATTCTGTTTGCGTAAGCTTCTTGCTTGATTTCAATACCGTCTTCTCCTTGGTGAACCTCAATACCAAGATAATATGTGAGTTTTCCAAGATCTGACATTTCAAACTTTGAAGACATACCGATCTTGAACTCATTCAGTGCTTTGGTATTATTTCCCGTGATGAACAGGTCGTCCACATATACAGCGACTATGAGTAGACTTCCCTTTTCTTCTTTGCGATATACTGAGGTCTCTTTCATGCACCTTATGAACTTCATACCTTTTAGAATCTGGTCAAGTTTGGTATTCCAGGCTCGCGGTGCTTGTCGTAGACCATACAAGGCTTTCGAGAGTTTGTATACTTTGTGTTCTTCTCCTTCTTTTTCGAAACCTTCTGGTTGTTCTACGAACACGTCTTCCTTTAGTTCTCCGTGCAAGAAAGCCGTTTTTACATCCAAATGGTGAATTTCCCAACCATGTGAAGCAGCTAGTGCCATTAACAATCGAATGGTTTCAATTCGCGCAACCGGTGCGAAGACCTCGTCAAAGTCTATACCTGATTCTTGTATATAACCTTTAGCTACTAGTCTTGCTTTGTATTTGTTAATGGAGCCATCTGCATTCTTCTTAATCTTAAAAATCCACTTTAGGCCAATCACTTTTATGTTACTTGGTCGATCAACAAGAGACCATGTCTTATTCTTGTTAATCGAATGAATCTCTTCTTCGCAGGCTTTCCTCCATTCCAGTAAACCCTTTGCTTCTTTATAGCTTCTTGGTTCATAGTTTATTGCAAGTAGCATTCTCTCGCATTCCACAGAGGCCTGTAAGACGAAATCATTGAGATGTCCTGGTCGTTTAACTTGACGGGTTGATCGTCTTAGTGCTGGTGCTGTTTCTTGTGTTATGCCGTTTCCCTCATCTCCATGATTATCTCCTTGATGATCCGTAACATCACTGCTCTCTTCTTCATTATTTTCGTAATCATGGGAATCTTCATCCTCGGTTCCATCTTGATTATGAGCATCAACAATTACGGGACCTTCTCCAGTATCTTCTACATCCCCCCAGGTCATATGAAACATCCCTGGTTCTCTGTTTAGTCCATTCGATGCTTCTTTCCAGTTCCAACTTGTTCTTTCATCGAACACCACGTCTTGGCTTACTACTATCCTGCGATTTGATGGATTGTACAACCTGTAAGCTTTTGAACCTGGTTCAATCCCAAGATGAACAAGTGGTATTGATCTGTCATCGAGTTTTCTGAGACTTGCAGAGTCCAACTTCGAGTAGACTAGACATCCGAAAACTCTTAGGTGCTCCACATTGGGTTTCTTCTTGCGCAAAGCTTCATACGGAGTCATATTGTCCAAAGCTTTTGTTGGAACTCTGTTAATGATGTAGGTGGCGTGTCTTGTTGCTTCACCCCATAGATAGTTAGGCACTTTCTTCTCTTTAAGCATGCTTCTGGTCATCCCCATTAATGTTCTATTCCTTCTTTCAACAACGCCATTTTGTTGGGGCGTATACGGAGCCGTCAACTGTCTTTTCATTCCACTTGCTTTGCAGAATTCATGAAAGTCCTTAGAAGTGAATTCTCCTCCCCTGTCTGTCCTGAGGGTGATAATATCTTCTTTGAAATCCTTCTCAACCAGTCTTTTAAATGCTTTGAATTTATCAAGTGCATCGCTTTTCTCTTTGAGGAGGATTGTCCACATATATCGTGAGAAATCATCTATGATAACGAACACGTATCTGTTGCGAGCAAGGGTAGGAGGCGTTATTGGCCCACATAGATCTGCATGAAGGAGCTCCAAGGGTCTTAATGCTCGAAACTTACTAGCCTTTGGAAAACTCTGTCGATTTTTTTTTCCAACTAGGCATGACTCACAGATCTTTGTTTCGTTTCGTATTGAGGGAAGACCACGAACCATCTCGTGTTGAGCCATATCTTTGATCGTTTTAAAACTTATGTGCCCCATTCTTGCGTGCCACTTCCAGGTGTTATCCTCAATGTTCGAATGAAGACATACTGGTTTTCCGATTTGAAGCTTGATCTTGTAGAGGCGATTTGGTGATCTGATTACTTTCACCAATAGCCTGTTGTTTGGATCATGAACCGTTAAATAATCTTGCTTCATTCGAACGTCACATCCGACTTCAGTTGCTTGACCTAGGCTCAGAATATTGCTTCGGAGATCAGGACTATAGTAAACTTCTTTTACAAGGATCTGTTCATCGGTTCTACTTTGAAATAGAATGGATCCTTTTCCTTCTATCTTCACACAAGACCCATCTCCAAATTTTACTTTGCCTGTAATGTTCTTGTTGAGCTCTGAAAAATACGCCTTGTTGCCTGTCATGTGGTTACTCGCCCCATTATCAAGGTACCATATATCTTCTTCTCCCTCATAGTTCTTGGGTATAAGTTTGTCTTCATTTAAAAACACGACCTCATGCATGTAGAGGGCTTCGTCTTCGTCTGCTTCCTCTGTTTCAACTTCGTGCATATTTGTCTCTTGGTACTTTCGAGTTCTATCAGGACATTTGGAGGCGAAATGACCTGGTTTGTCACAGCGATAGCAGATGACTCTAGAAAGATCCTTTTTCTCCCGTGTCTGATTTGAATCGTTTTGATTCATCGACCTGTCTTGAGAATTAAACCGACCTCCTCTGCCGCGTCCTCTGTTTCCACGTCCTCGTCCTCTTCCGTATGAGACCTGTTGGTCTGAATTCGTATACAGCAATTTTCCTTGTGTATCCTCTTGATTCTCCTCGCCGAGAATCCGTTCTTCATAGGCTTTTAACCGGCCAATGATGTCTTCAAAACTAGTTGTCTTTAGGTCTAAAACCTGTTCAAGAGAAGCGATGATGTGTATATATTTGTTTCTCGGCAAAGTGTTAAGAAACTTTTTAACAAGTTTTGATTCATCCATCGTTTCTCCAAGGGCAGCTGATTTTGAAGCAAATTCTGATAACTTTCCAGCAAAGTCGTTGATGGTGTCTGTGTCTTTCATCTTCATTCTCTCGAATTCAGACATCAGAGTTTGGAGTCTGGCTTCTCTAACTCGATCGGCACCTAGGTTGCGAGTTTTAATCGCTTCCCAAATTGCCTTTGGAGAATTTTGCTCACCGACTTGTAAGATTAAATTCTCCGGGATGGACTGAACGAGTAGGCCGATTGCAACGTCGTTCTTGGTAGAGTCTGTTGAGCCGGGATCAATGGTTTCCCAGACTTTGTGGATTCGTAGCAACACTCGCATCCGCATCGCCCATACGGTGTAGTTTGTGGAGGTTAATAGTGGGCATTGCATAGATGATGGGATCTTCTCTTTTGCTTGCGTCGCCGGAACTACGTCTCCCATTGTTTCGTATCACGTTGTCTTCGTGTTTCAAAGCTCAAAACTTTGATCGAAAACCCTAAAGCTCTGATACCAAATAAAAGGCGTTAATGTGCTTAGCTTTGTGAATAAGAATAACTCTCTTATATTAATGCTTAAGAAAAATATCTCAAAAACTTAAACACCCAAAACTACTATATGAATGCCACAGCTCGACATCTATATATAGTTAACATAATTTCCTTTTCCTAATTGTATTAGATAACTCCTAAAGCAGCTAGAAACACTAGGAAACCGACTAAACCCTTCTTATCTTAATCCAACTTGATTAAGGATGTCTTGGGCCTGAAGAAGTAATGTTGAAGCTTATCCAACACATGTGTGATTTCCACATTTAAAAATTGCAACTATGTATTAATTTTGACTGTTTTATTTGTAAAGATGTTGCAGAAAAACATATAACTTGTCGTTTCTGAATATGTTCCATTTAAAAAAAAATGGAGAAAATCTGAAATTTTAGAATTAAAGTTGAATATACAATTTGTAACAGTGTGCTTTTGAAAGAGGGGATATGATATGTTAATAATCTTGGCATGGTTGAATTACTTGAAGAGCTTATGTGGCATGCGCATGTCACATATATCAAGAGCATGCATGTCTTGTATGGCTAACATTGAATGTTTTTATTTGTATGGTTTCGCTTAATGTTTCGTTTTGTTCTTTATTGATTGTCAAGATGAACTGTAAACCTTTAGTAGCTGAAGTTTCCATTGTACAGATCAAAGAGAAGTTCTCTTTAGAAACAAGCATAGTACGCTATTCGGGTGCAGATCGGTGGATATTCGTTGTTTTCTTAGTGTTTAGATATGATAACTATATATATGTAGATATGTGTGTGAACATCTATAATATATATACTTTGAAAATAAAAATTTATTATTTATTATCAAAAAGTTACTTTTAATTTTTAGCTAATCAGTTTAAAAAATCAGCTAAAAAGGTATAAAAGTTATGAGTTCACACAAAAACCATCAAATTAGCCAGTTTATCAAAAATGCAGCTAAATGGAAAAAAAAAGTATTTCGAATCTAATGAAATGTTGGAGAAAAACAGCACGTTAGCCAACGTGAAAACATTGTTACCATTTACTTACAATTCTTTATTCTCCACATTAGACTTGATTGAAAGAAGAAAAAAAGAGGATTAGAGTTTTCTTGAAATAACTATTGTATGCGTTCGATTAATGCAAAGTTTCTCGAAGTAAAGAATAAAGCATATTCCAGCTTATTATACTCAATTTTTTATTATTACTTTGCTTTAAAAGTAAATGACCAAATCTGTCACTGAGTCACCAAATGTGTCATTGTAAAACAGTAAAACGAGTAAAGTAATAAAACGGCTAAAAAAGCGAAGCCGTTTTTTTCCTCGTTTCTCTATAAATTGTCGTTCATGCACAAACCAAAATTCCAATACTTGAGACATTAAAAACAAACAAAAAAAAACACTTCAAAATTTCTCTTCGATAAAACCCTCCAGAAGTTTCTCACAAACAGTTTTATCCCCGATAAATTATTGAATTTCCCCCAAAAGCCCAGTAGTTTCTCTGACCAACCCAAAAAATTGTGCAAAAACTAAAACTTCCCCAGGAAAAAAAAAAAAAACAAGAAAGAGAGAAGAATCAGATCTGAGAAAAAAACAATGTGTTTTGTGTGTTTATGCGATGAGGAAGAGACAGAGTTAGGGAGACAACAGGCGCCTGGATCATGTCCATACTGTGGAGGTAAAGTGCAAATGCTTGATGTCGAAAGAAAATGGATGTTTTGTTTCGTTCCTCTCTGTTTCAAGATCAAGAGGAAGTATCTGTGCTCTTCTTGCGATCGCCGTCTCGTTTTGTATCATTAAAATAATAATATATTCGAAATTTCTTTCTTGATTTCCTTCTTTTTTTCTTAATGATGATAAAGTAGATTAATTAGCGTTTTTTATCAAGGAAAATAATTTTAGTCGGTGGTTTTTGGTACGTTTTTAGTTTATCTATGTCGTCGTGTAAACAGACATTGATCTTTAGAAGTTAGAACTATCTTGTTCAATATGGTCAAGTATGATGTACTTTTCTTTTGTCTTCGAGTGTCTTCTTAAGTCGGTCTAAAATTAATATATGTAATGAAGTTTTAAATGTATAATGATGTAATGAAGTTTGCAAAATGTTCGAGCCTGCAATGTATATCTCTAAAGTCTCGACGATCTTGCAAATGCATTTTATTTTCGGTTCTGTAATTTGATATACACTCAAGATAAAGAAAAAAACTAAATAATTTTGCATGCAAGTACGGGTGTCAATCGAGCCTGATCTCAATTCGATAAGGTTTTTTGTTCCGGTCCAATTGGTTTTTGTAGCGTGGAAAGTAAAAATCACGATAAGAAAGGAAAACAAAAAAAAGATTGCAAAATATAAGCTTACGTACTGATGACAGAAATAAATATGGAGGCTTAATTTGGGGGTCCGCAATATTGGAATGGAGCCAAATTAATATTAAGTAGCTTAAATATTTTTACTGCTTTACAGCAAATTACTACTCTATTCTCACCTATAAGCTAATGTTTTATCATTCAAAGATTTTCGAAGTAGTCCAGTCCAATATCGAACATAACAATGTTTTTGTCTACTCGAATCCTTTTTTCTCAATTTAGTGGTTCATAGCAAAAAAGCCTAAATGTGTTGGTCAAGCAAATTTTAATATATTTTATCCCTTAACAATACTATATACTGATCAACAATTAATTAAATCTTTGAACGTTGTTTCGAGGTCATTAAATTTAAGATTATGGGCAATCCTCATGAGGGGGGAATAAAAAAAGAAAGATCATGGGCAATTCTAAACATCATTGCGTTTTTAGGTTGAAAATACGATAATTGCGTTTTTAGGTTGAAAACACTAAAGTTGGTCTCTATTTAACGATCTCGGTACTAATCTGATAATTCAATATAAAAAATAATCTTAAAAACAAACAAAATAAGATTCACTTGTGATGCTTATGTAATACTTGCTCGTGACTTATTTATGAGCCGCAGAGAGAAAAAGATCGCAACTGATTCGGTCACATGCAATGTGACATCAGTGCAGTGGTCAGCGATTTATGTTGTTTTTTAGTCAGAACTGAAACTGTATTTTCGAACATTTCAAAATAAAATAAATATAGGGAAAATGAAAGAACAGCTCTTGTTTTTTTTGGGTTATAAACAGCTCTTATCTAGTGGAAAAAACAAAAAAGAAACAGTTATTATCTATATGGAAAAATACCAAAAAATACTTTATTTATTTAATTTTTAAAAGAATCACATACGAACTTTTAGCGTTATCATAAATTCACACATACTATTTTTTCGATGCATAAAATATATAAATTTTTTAAAATTTCATTTTCCCCATCTAATATCATGGTCGTTAACGGATATAACGGAATCAATAAACAATGTTAATTTTTTGTAGAAAGTAATGATAAAAAATACCCCAACTATTTAATTATGCCAGAAACCCACACAAATTTTTTTGCATTGCCAGAAATCTATCCAAACTATTTTTTAATCTATAAAAAAATTCAAACTTTTTAAAATTTCATTTTCCCTCCTCAAATTTCACGGTCGTTATGTTAGTTTTTTGTAACACGTGCTAACTATTCTAGGATTGATATTATTGTTACCCTTAAAAATCTTCAAATCGATTTGGGGAAGAAAAATTTATATCCTAATTTTTCTCTCTTTTTTAGAAATTGAGTGAAATCGGTTGAAAAATATGGTTGGTAGTATAAATCAAGTCAGAAACAGTGTGTGTTGTGATATATAAGACTAATAAGAGCAATTCGAGGAGTAGATGTATATGTTCTAAACATGATTTATTGCTCTATTAACCATATTTTCAACCGATTTCATTCAATTTTTGAAATAGTGAGAGAAAAAAACATTAAAATTTAGGTTTTTCTTTTTAAAGGTAATAATGGTATTAATTTAACAGTAATTAACATGTGTTATGGAAAATTAACTCAGTTTTTCGATTCTGTTATGTTTATAATGACCGTGAAACTTGAGGAGGGAAAATGGAATTTTAAAAAGTTTGTGTGTTTTTATCGATTAGAAAAATAGTCTATATGGATTTCTAGCAATGTAAAAAGTTTGTGTGGGTTTCTGGCAAAATTAGATAGTTGATGTATTTTTTTAGCATTTTTTTCTACAAAAAATTAACGTTGTTTATTGATTTTGTTATGTATGTTAATGACCGTGAAATCAGAGAAAGGAAAATAAAACTTTAAAAAAATTTATGTACTTTTATGCATAAAAAAAATAATTTATGTGGGTTTCTGGCAACGCTAAAAATTTGTGTGTGATTCTTTCAAAAATTAAATAAATGAGATATTTTTTAGCATTTTTCCTCTTATCTATAGACCATAGAATATAGATTATAGATTATGTAAATGATACCTTATATCAATTCTTTTATTTTATTAAAAATAAAAATACCAAGCCAAGGCCAACGCAATTTGGAGGATGGATTAGTACGGTAGTTTGGCTCACGATAAAAGCTTTGTATCATATTTAATTTTTTCTCAAAACACGCTTAAACGCTAAATTCAATGCCACACTTTATGTAAAAACGTGTTTTCGGATGAATAAATTTGGTATTCTTAAAAAAAAAACTCTTATTTCCATCACTTTTTAAATTAATTTTCTTAATCAGTCTAAAACTAATGTCATCGTTAGCTTCACAAGAAATAATTATATATATATATACACATTCTTTCTTTTACAACCACAGTTCCAATGTTCATATAGTCTTTCAAAGTATACTTCTAGAAGATAATTTCTTGATATAGGAAGTTGGAAAATTTGTGAAGGATCTCTGATAAAAAGGCGTTAAGATGCTATTATGCTTTTAGAATGTATACATTATCTAATTCACATGTGAGAAAGGTATATAAACAAAATGTATATTATATAAATACGATAAACAAAGAAGAATAAGAAGACTTGACATTGACGATCAGAGTACTCACTACAAGAAAACACCTCATTTACAACGACCATATTCGTTGTAAATTCGTTGTAAATGAGTGTTTGTATCGATTTTACGACGAAAATCAAATCGTCGTGAATCGATCGTCGTAAATCAAATTTCGTCGTAAATTCGTTGTAATTAGCGACGATTTATATTCGTCGCTAATTTATAACGATTTTACAACGATTTTTAATATTTTTTATTTTTTTTTATTTTTACAACGATTTTACAACGATTTTTATTATTTTTTTTATTTTTATAACAATTTTTATTATTATTATTATTTTTAATTATTTATTTTACGACGATTTTACAACGATTTTTTAAAAATTTTTTTTAATTTTTACAACGAATTTACAACGATTTTATTATTTTTCCGGCGATAGTGGCTCCGGTGGTGATAGCTCCTCCGGCGGTGGTGGCTCCTCCGGCGGTGGTGGCTCCTCCGGCAGTGGTGGCTCCTCCAGCGGCAGTGGTGGCTCCGGTAGTGGTGGCTCCTCCGGCGGTGGTGGTGATGACTCCGGCGATGAAGATAGATTACTGAACTTGTTATATATTAGTGTTAAGTTTGTTATATATATACTATAAGAAATTTTGTCAAACCATCGATGTGGGACTTTTCTAATTTTGATTAACGACGAATTTACATCGATTTTAAGATAAATCATTGAAATTTCGTTGTTAATTTAAAAAAAAACAAAAAAATAGATTTACAACAAATTTACATCAAATCGTCGGTAATTCGTTGTTAACTTTGAATAAATTATATATGATCATATTGTAATAAATTATATATACACTCCTTATGTGTAAATTTACAACAAATTTAATAAATCAACATAAAATTTATATAAAGTAAACATGAAATAATAAGATTTTAGAACTTACAATTATAGTATTTAGGAGAAAAGATATTTTTCAATAATAGAAAACTTGCAATAATTTTGTAAAATGTTTCTTTACTTAAAAAATAAGAGTTTGTTGTAAAACTATTGTAAATTTACAACAAATTTACAATGAATATTTGATTTTATTTTAATAAAAAAATTATTCGTTGTTAATTCATTGTAAATGTGCAACGATTTTACAATTATTATTTTTTTAATTAAATAAAATTATTATTCGTTGTAAAATCATCGTAAATTTATGACGAAGCTGATATTCGTCGTAAATTCGTCGTAAATTTACAACGATTTTACAACGAATCGTTTTACAACGAATTAACGACGAATTCGTTGTTAATTCGTAGTAAAATTGCAACGAAAATAAATCGTTGTAAAAATTTGTTGTTAATCTTGTGTTTTTTTGTAGTGACTTGTCCATCAATTTGAAATCTTTATACAATTGGTTTTTTTCGGAACAAATATCATAAAAATGCCAATTTCATATTCCCGGTAAACTTATCAGTATACCGTTTAAAAAAAAAAACTCTATTGCCATTTCAATTATATAATTGATCATTTTCTTTTTGCGACCTAACATTTCCATTACTTGTTATCCTTCCTGAGAGTTTCTTGCTAATGTTTCTTGTCTTTGGTTTGACAGAATCTAATCTGAATTTGGGAAACCGAGCGAAAGCTACTTGTGGTGCTTGCCAAATGCGAGCCTCTCGAAATATTAACGTTCTCTCTATGAAAGAGAAAGGGTGTTAGTGTTATCGTCTACCATTTAATTAATAAAACTATACATACAAGTTACTTCAAATCCGCAAAAGGTTTTTCATTGAACGACCCGAAAAAATAAAAAAGACACGATCATCGTATCGGCCCAAAAGTTTAGAAGCAGATATCCAAATACAAAAAGTTGTCTCTGCCTAAACCCAACAAATCTCGGCCCAAACGCAGTACTAAAACGTTTGGTTAATGTTTTTTAAACAAAGGATTGAATTGTTTTCAAATATTTGTACTAGAAAGTAGTTAGATGTATATTCATTCAAGTGTTAATCATTATTTTTCTTTTTCAACAACATGCATTCCAATGATAAAATACAAAGATAACACTACCACAAAACGTTATCCTACATACCGTGATCAAGCATCTTTTTTTTTTTTTTTGTTCAAAATTAAACCGTGACCAACCAAGCATCTCTTAATAAACAAATTTCGTGAATGATGATCATTTTATAATTTTTGGAATAGTCTATAGTATGAAACGGGCCTAATTACACAATCGAGTCGGGTTTAAAACGGGCCGAGTAAAGCCCTAATTTCTTCCTAAATCGGGTCGGGTCTTCATCGGGTTTTGCCATTTATGCGCCTCGGTTACAAGGAACTTGTCCTAAGCTCAGATTGTCGACACAAGCTTCATACATATGCCCAAAACCCTAGCAGCGGAACCTTCTTCAAACACCTTAAACCCAGCCCTCTTAGCTCTCAAGCCTCGCCAAGTGTTGATCTGCAGACCAGTTATGGGGAAAGAGAGCAAAACCTTGAAATCGGAGCAGAAGGTTCTTCTTCTTCGCTCAATAGCTCAGTACTTGGAGCGATGTGGCTTTTCTAAATGCTTCAAGAAATTGCTCTCCGAAGCCGAAATCGAGGTGTGTACATTCAATCAATTTTCGATTTTTAAGAGACTCCTCTGTTGCTGTTTGGAGATAAAGACTAAAACTTGTTCAATTTTTCGACGGACTAGCTGCTCAATGTTGAGTGTGTTCTTTGGTTATTGTTTCAGAAGAAGGAACTGAACAGTACTTTACCAGACATAGAGGAAATTTATTGCGATTTTTTGAAGAAGAGGTAAGCTTATGTCGCTTATTTCATATATAACAACAAGCTGTTTCCTTTTTAGTTACATTACATTTTTTTTTGTTGTTGTCATGCTCGGAAGATATAAATTGAAGGGTTTACTGGTTGATTCGTGTTGAAACCGTGATCAATCTGGATTTTCCCTTTTTCTTGTTCTGTATCATGTAGCCATCTCGAAGCTGTGGAGCTGAAAGATGAATCCGGTGATGATGAGATCGCAAATGGGAAGAAGAAAGCAGGAAGTGTAGATCACGAAACTGATAAGAAGGACAAGAAGAAAGAAGTTGCGGTGAATGGAATTCCCAAGGCGGATGCAATGGAAGGCGTAGAGAAAGTAAAGAAGGATAAAAAGAAGAAAAGGAAGGAAACAAAGTTGGAGGTCTCCGAGGAGGAGAAGGTCAAAGAGACTGATGCTGGGATCAAAGACGGACTGAAAGAGAAAAAGAAGAAGAAGAACAAGTCGAAATCTAGTGAGGCTGAGTCTTTGGGTGATGATGATAAGGAGAAAGCCTCCAAGAAAAGGAAAAGATCAGAGCCCGAAGAGACAAAAGAGCAGGCTGAGGATGATGAAGAATCAAAACGTATGAAGAAGGAAGAGAATGCAGTAGAAGCCGACGAGGGTGTTCAAGAAACACCTGTTAAGCAAACTGACGTTCAGGAAAACGGTAATGTTGAGAAAAGCGAAACAAAATCAACAAATAAGAAGTCAGGAAAAGGACTTTCTAACTCAAAAGAGGTAGGTAACCGAGTTTTGCATCAATTGATTTGTTTGGGTTAAGTGATTGTGTAACTGATGCGTTTTTTAAACATTGATTTACAGCCCAAAAAACCGTTTCAGAGAGTGAACGTTGAAGAAGTTGTGTTCACTGACGAAAGGCTTAAAGACAACTCTTATTGGGCAAAGGTTCTATATAATCTCTATTTCTCCTTCTATAGCAATCTTTGTTTTACCAATACTTTTATTGAAGTTTACATCTTTGTGTCTTCTAGGACGGTGCTGATTCGGGATATGGTGCTAGAGCTCAAGAGGTTCTAGGGCAAGTCAGAGGAAGGTAAAGCTCCTCAGCCTTTGGACTTTGTTTTATATAGGAGCTACGCATTGACAACGGGGGACTTTGGGGGTGTTGATTCGGTTGTTATATTTGGTTTGGTTCGGTTATTTCGGGTTTGAAGATTTATAACCAGAGTCACTTTGGACTTTCTAAATCTGAGTTAGGCAATTAGCAATTAGGGGTGTTGATTTGGTTACTATGTTTGGTTCGGATTGCTTATTTGGGGTTTGAAAATACATAACCTAAGTATAATCAAAATATTTCTGGTTCGTTCTGATATGGTTTTGGCAAATTTTCGGTTTCGTTGGTTAGGTTTAGCGTAATAAGTAACTTCATGTATAAAGAATAGATGATTTTCAACAACAATGAATATTTATTTTATTTTGGTTTATTTGGTTTGATTGCACTAGAATTGGTTTAGGTTTGGTACGAAAATGAAGAAATGGATTTAGGTTCATGTCTTGATCTCTGAAATTTTGCTTCTTTGTGTTGGTCTTTATGTAATTATGTTGTAGGGGTTTCCGACATGAGAAGACGAAGAAGAAACGAGGAAGCTACAGAGGAGGAGAGATCGATCTTCAGTCACATTCGGTTAAGTTTGATTATTCAGACGAAGAATGATGATACTCTTGATTGATAAACACTACACTACCTTTCCCCTTTTGACCTATCTTCTTCAATTATCATCTTTTTCTTTTGCTTTGCTTTGCTTTGCTTATTTCAATATGTAAAACCATCGAATCTAAATACCCGAAGAAGGGTTCAAGTTTTGTCTTTGTTAATGGTTTCATTTGAAACTTAGTGAGAACATGATTCAGATTCAGTTTCAGTTTCTTTGTTCACTTAATTAACACTATGAGTCTCTGAGTGAGCACATAACTTGCTGCAGGTGCTTGGCTTTGGGCCTATATGTTTTTGGACTGGGGCGCATTTTGGCCCGGTTTTCAACTTTAATAAAGTCCATGAGTTGCGACTCGAAAATAATAGTAGTTTCTTATAAGAGTTTCAGACAAATCCTCGAGGCAATTATTTCCCTGTTCGGAGAATTTTTCTTTTTTCTCACAAAGAATTTAGTCACCAAAGGAATCTATTTAGCCGACATATATATATATATATATGTACTGTATGTTTGTTGTACTTCGCAAATGTATTGAGATATTTGTTCCTCTTTGCTTTCTAATCAATTTACTTTGATATTTCATTCAAATAGTTTCCTCATATTAAAAGCATCTGTTTTTCTGTGACACATTTAATATCTTATTGATAATGATTTGATTTGTCAATGGTGCTTGATTCTATACTTTCTAATCAAATTTAGTAGAAAGTAATGGGGGAAAATAAAGTAAAGAAGAGTATCTTTGTTTATGGTGTCTTGCGTTTTGGTTAGGCAAAGTGTGAGTTTCTTCTTTATCTTGATCTCATTAAATTAATCACTCAAAGTTGTTATTCGAGTCATTAAAAAAATACTACTTTAGAAATTATTATTTATGTGTCGGCTGGTTCTTTTTCTTAGCAAGTATTTGTAATATTTTTAATATCTATATATTTATTTGTGTAGTGATTTGTCGTGTTCACAGCGAGTTTCACAACTTTTTGCTTACGTGTCAACTCTAGAATGAGTTTCAATCGTAAAAAAATCGATTAGTCTCATTTTGCAATTACATGTCATTTTTTAATTGGTTCTTAACTGATGATGTATAAAAAATAACTTAAAACAAACCGGTCTAAATTATTATGATTTAATGTTTAATTTCGCTGTCAAATTAAACCGAATCTAAAATTTTATAAAACAAAAATTTCAAAAAAATAAACAAACACTTTTTTTTAAGAAAAAAAAATATTATATCTTTTAGTGTTTACCATTTCTTATGTTTCCAAAATTTAGAAAAATTAACAAAAATGTAAAAAATAAATAAAAAATAAAATCTATATACTTAATTGTGTAGTGATTTTCTTACGTGTCGTGCTCACAGCGAGTTTCACAACTTTTCGCTTACGTGTCAGCTCTAGAATGAGTTTTAATCGTAAAAAGACCGATTAGCCTCATTTTGCAATTACATGTCATTTTTTAATTGGTTCTTAACTGATGATGTGTAAAAAATAACTTAAAACAAACCGGTCTAAATTATTATGGTTTAATGTTTAATTTCGCTGTCAAATTAAACCGATTCTAAAATTTTATAAAACCAAAATTAAAAAAATAAACAAAAATGTTTTTTTTAAGAAAAAAAAATCTACTATATCTCTTAGTGTTTACCATTTCTTATGTTTCCAAAATTTAGAAAAATTAACAAAAATATATAAAAAAAGTGAAATCTATTTAAAAAGTAAAATGTTGTTTCAAAACAAAAATAAAATAAAACTGAAATTTAGAAAAAAAAACTTTAACAAAAAAGTTGAAAAATATATATATATATATATATAACTAATGGAATGACGATATTTGTGATGTTTAAAACATATAAAAATGATCAAAATAGAATAAATTCATACCGTACTTAAAAAATTATGTCTAAAATACATAAAACAGTGATCAAAAGATCTCAAAACTATTTAAACTAAATTATTTGGATACTATTATGTTTTTATTTACTCTTTTCTATTTTATATTGTTTTCACGATCATGTTTTATAACATTAAAATGTAAGGAATCTAATAAACAAACATACTTAAGAATAAAAAAACAAATGAATGCAACCTATTATCAGATTTTCAAACAATCAAATAGAAATTATATTAGTCCGCGCAAGGTATGAGAAAGTTAACTAGTGATGTTTTGATTTACAGAAAATAAGCAACCATTGCGTGAAGTTGTGTTATTTTTTAATATTTATTAGTTGTGATTAGTTAATATGTTCCTCAAACTCCCACTATATCATAAACTGTATTTTCTCTTGCATTATTTGGTAAATGCCATTTATGAAGGTCGAAAATTAGTTTTTTTTTGCCTGTCCTTGTTGAGCCTCAGGCAAGGCTATCTTTTTCTGTATCTCAAACTTAATTCCAAAATTGTGACAATGTTTACATCTAAGTATAAAGTGACGTTGGCCATAATCCGATTAGCACCTCGGACAAATCATTACAATCTTATAACGTACGGTCTGAAAACAAAAGGAAGCTGATATCGTTGGAATTTAAAAAGTAGAAGTAATTGTAGAAAATAGTGTCTTTCAGATCAGAATTATAAATTAGACAGACGACAATTGACTTTTATTTCTTTGGAAAAGGACAACTGAATTTTGGATCATGTTATATATTGTCTAACCGAAATATATGCATTAGATCAATGCACTTTAAGTCTTGAACATAAGATTTACAATAATTTAAGAATTATAAAATAGCTTCTTTTTTTAAACCATTTGTGTGATGAATTTTAATGTTGTTTTTATCCTATTAAAAGGGATACTTAGTTTTGTGACGTTCCAACTGCCATTATCGATAAACCACACGTTTTCTTTCGGTCAGTATAGGTTCACTTTTGTTCCATTGCCGGTGTATTATTTTGGAAAGTTTCAAAAAAATTGTTTATTAACCATATAAAAATCACAGTTATATATTCTTTCATGTTCTGGCCACACTTGTCTAAATTCGGCTCTAGTACCATCATATCACAATTGTAATGGTTCTATTTATGGAATATGGTGGTGCATTTATATTTTTTTTTTGTAATTTATCTCAACGAAATTCAAATAAACGTCCTTTAACACGATCAATCCAAAGATGGGTAGCGGAAAGATTTAAAAAAAGATCGTTGTGATCTGCAGAGTGCAGGGTTAGTATCTACACGCAGAGAAGACGTGGAAGTATGGCGGTCGAGATATTACAAGTTATATCAAAACTGAATTGATGATTCGAATGTAAAGTTATATAGACTTACTCCGTCGGAGATTATGGTTTTGGTATGCAATGAAGACGTTGTGCACTTGTGCTATGTGATTGGGATAATTGCAAATCGCAATACTCCTATTGGTAATGTACTATTGCATGAAAAGATTTTTAAATCTAATTGATTTGGTTACCTATATTATTAAAATATATTTATATTTCGTAACTTATACCAGTAAAATTCAAGAATTCATAAATTTGAATGAGAGCAAATTAAAACTGTTGACCTATCATTGTGTCTTGTAGATATGAATAAAGCACGAAGAAATGTTTCGTGGTGCTATCCAGAGTTACTAAACAATTTTTTTTGACGTTTTTCCGAAAGAAGCGCACGAATCGTTTAGATGAAAGTGGGTCCGAACTCCGAAGAGAAGTGTGGCTTACATGAACGATGGAGGTTGAGATTTTCCAGTTTTTTTTCATAGTCACGATCAACTAAGTAGGTGAAAAATCAGATATTTTATAAAACTCAGACTAAACAAAATTTTGGTAACATACACAGATTTAAAATGTTAAGAAAAATATGGTCGACATGCAAATTTTTGTTTTCAAAGTAATTTTTGAGTATATGGTCCCCAAAAAAATCTATATTTTTGGGTGGATGTGTTTAGTAATAATATCACATCCCACCTATAATTTTTTTCCAGATTACGAAATGAACCCCCACTTTTTCTCTTTCGATCAAAGTAGTATTATTATAAATGACAACGACGCGTGATTCATATTAGAGATTAGATGCTCGATGAAGAAACATCTCGAAAAAGAAAAGGTTGTTAGGACTAGAGAAATCAGGTGTATGTATCGTGATTTTAATATCTAAATATTCATATATCTATTTTTGTCGAAAATAAATAATAAACAAAAAAATTATGCCAATAGGTGGTGATGTGGAACACAACCAGTACGGAATATCGTGAGACACAGATGAAAACAAAACAAGAGAATTAAATACTACTAACGACGGATAATAATATATGAATATTTCCCCTTTGATTTGAACAAATCACGCGAAATGTCTTAGACTAATGCGCCCTGAATCAAACTTTATCATTTTTATGCGTAAGAAATTTTCTTATTATCATATTTTGGTTCATTAATGTTTCCTACAGCTACATATAATGTTCAACAAAAAAAATGTCTCCTACATATGGTTTAAGTGTTTAACGTCTGAGGTTTACTTCGTATGGCAACTAATATTGATTCTCTCTCTCTCGTAGAATTATGCTGACACTAATGGCGCCCTTTTTTTTTTAAAAAAAAAGATAAACCTTTAATTACTTTTTTTTTTCTTTTATGATGACCAGTTAGAAAAGAACATTGTCGTTAACAAGAAGAAAGAACGCCGAGAATTAAGAAGTGAACAACAATACTACAATAGTAACATGATAAAGACATTTAAAGAAAACACATAACCAATACACATTTAACTTTTTGTCCAAAAAAATAATCATTTAACTTAAACTCTGTCTCAATTTTCCCTTAGCAGCATCCTCTTGTGAACACATTTTTTGGAGTTTGAAATTAAAAAAAAAAACAAATTTTGGGATTCCTTCTATTTGTTTTTTAGATAATATTTACATATGTAGAGAATAAACGTTCCCAGTTTATCACCAAACACAGATTATTAATACAATCGTGATCTATTATGTTAGTATGTTACGAATAAGTATTACGAAACGTAGCGTTTGGCTTACAGATTTACAGTTTGTAAACAAATATTTGTGTTCTTGTTTTAATTTCTTATCTCTCCAGTGATTAAAATATTACTGTTTTCTCAAAAGTCATAAGGATGTCCCACTAGAGGGGCATCAAGAAGTGACGACCAAAAAAAGGGGGCATCAAGAAGTGAAAATACAATATTTAGGAAGAAAGAAATATATCTGATCCTTAAAACCCCCTATTCAGATCCAGTAAAGTTAAGGCACTACAAATTAATTTTTACAC